CCTCCTCCTCCTCCTGCTCTTCCTCCTCCTCGTCCTCGTCCTACTCCTCCTCCTCCTCCTCCTCCTCCTCCTCCTCCCCGCGTGCTCCTGTCAAACGCCTGCCGGGGTCCCCGCAGATCGGCGCCGTCCCCACGTCGGCCCCCGCCTCTCGTCGAACTCTGCATGCTGCGGGGGGGCGCGGCGGCGGAGTCCTCTCTGGCAAAGGCCCCGCTGGCAGAGAGGCGGCGCCCGCGGGAGCGGCGGCGGCGGAGGCCTCTCGGGCAGAGGCTCCGCCGGCAGAACGGCTGAGCCCGCGCCGCCTCCGAGGGCTCAGGCGCCGGGGCCGCCGTGCGGCGCCCCGCGTCGCAATCGCGCGCGCGGGCCTCCCTGGGCTTAGGTCGGGCATGTTCTCCTACAGGTGGATGTTGGACGGCAAGTGTATATATATATATATAAACACATAAATAAATATATAAATAAATAGATCGATAAATGAATATATGAATAAATACATATTGAAGAAAAAAACGCCCCCAGACTGTATGCCGAGTTTTCTCCAATATTCCTCCTGTAGAGGGACACGCCTGACTTAAACCTGGGCCATGGAAGCACAAAAGGGTACCGATGCCGCTACTCCACAGGCATCGCCAAGGGTGCGCTCTGCCCAAAAGCTCGAGGCGAGTCCGGCCGTGGCGACGACGGAAGGGCAGCGGCATGGGTACGCCTGCCGTCCTCCCCCGACTCCTGGAGGCCCTCCGGCAGCCTCCGAGGGTGCAGACCGGGGGAAAAGACACTGACACAAGCATGCAAACTCTAAGGTCCGTGCGGGTTCCTCGGGTCGGCGCCGGGCCCCCCTGGCGCACGGAGCGCGCGCCAGGGGCGGCCGCCCGAGGCGCCGCCAGGGGGGCACTGGAGGGCCAATCCGAGGAATCCGCGCGGACCTCCGCGCTCTGATGCCCATGTCTTTGCTCGTTCGCCGAGCAGAAGGCGCGCGCGCGCAGCGCCGCGCTCCCCCCCCCCCCCCTGCGGGCCACACGTGTACCCATCTCCACTGCGTCTTGAAGCTCTGAGCTCCCTTCCCCAGAACACCAGCGGCGCAGCGGATATGGATAAAGCTCTGACCCGTAGAGAGGCTAGACTCTTGTCCGTATCCGCTGCGCCTCGGCCTTTTGGCGCCACCCGCCAGGAAGGAGGAGGAGGAGGAGTAGGAGGAGTGGGAGGAGGAGGAGGAGAAGGAAAGTCCAAGATGCAGTGGATATGGATATCAATCATGCCCGCAGCCCCCCTCGCCCGCGGGCGTCACGTCGAGAGCGCCCCCTGCGGGCGGGGGCTGCCCCGCGCCCCCCATCTGATGTGCCAGATGGTCACACCACCACCATAGGCAGGAGAGGGAGAGAAGGAGTGAGGAGGAGGAGGGAGGAGAGGGAGGATAGGAGCAGGAGGAGGAGCAGGAGGAAGGCGCAGGAGGAGGAGACCTCCCCATGCCTCCTTCTCCTCCGCAATGCCATCAGAATGTGGTGGTGGATGGAACATGGGACAACCCCCCCCTCGCCCGCGTCGAAATCCGTTCTGAGAGCGCACCCCCTGCGGGCGGCGGGTACTCCACAGAAACCGCCAGGCCCGTCGCACCTTCACCGGAGGTGACCGGTGCCCGGAGGTGCCCCCGGAAGCAGCGGGCGCCGCTCGTTCGGGCCGCTGGCGCGCTGTTACGGCGTCCTGCGCCTGTATTCAGCCGCTGCGGCCGCCGCCGCTTCCAGTTGCCCGCCGTCGCGGCGCCGTCGATCGGACGCCGTCGGCGCGGCCGCCGCCCGACCGCCCGTCGTTCGGCTTTCGTGGTTTTTTTTTCGGCACCGCCTTCCTGCGCGGCCGCCGCCACCACCGCCCGCCGTCGGCGGCGCCGGCCGTCGTCGACGCCGTTCGCCGCCCGCCGCGGTCATCGGCGGCGCCGCCGGGCGGCCTCGTCGCCGCAGGTTCGAAGCTCCAGGCATTCTAAGAAGAGAAAGCACATAAAATAAAACTGTTGGCGCTCCACACGGACTTCTTGGACCCGCGCCGGATCCCTCTCCCTGGCGAGCGCAGCGCGCCAGGGGCGGCGCCGGAGGCGCCGCCAGGGGGGGTCCAGCGCGGAGCCAAGAAATCCGCGCGGAGCGCCAAAAGTTTATGTTTATGCAGTTGTTTCTGCATTGAAGCCTCGAGCAGGGGATCGGTTGCAGAATTGATGTACCCCAGAACGGTTTTCTCGTCGGACCCATGAGACATGCGTAGCTCGATAGCTCTACGAACACTCTACGCGCTTGTTGCAGAGTCGACGGGGAAATCTAGTCGGGGGTGAATCGGTTCTGAGTCGATTCCCTACTCGAAGGCTCGAGACTTCCAGGCCTCCCGGGGCGTCCTCCTTGCCACGGCCCGCTCGAGGTGCTGGGCAGAACGGGCTCAGAGACACTTCTCCAGCAGCGGGGCCCAAATGCTTCGACGGTGTCTCTCGGGCCAGACCGCCTGGCTGTCAGCTCGCGCGCCGGCCCTTCGAATCGAGAGCCAGGTCAAAGGATATCTTAGATCAGATCTGCAACGTAACCTCGATGCTGCACTATGCAGCACTGCACCACCACCCACCGGAACAGCGACCGAAAGCACTAAAACCAACAGGACTCACGCAGCGGGCAGCCACAACTGCTACTACGCGTGGCGCAAGAACGCCACCCCAGACAGGCCCGCGGGTCGACTCTCGACCCCTGGATCCAGACCTCAGAATCACAAAACCAGACCCTCGAGGTTCCAGGATTCGTGAAGGATTTGGAGCGCTGTTGGCCTTTCATTGGTGGCCAGTGGATGCCTCCTCGGTCGAGAGCCCCCGATGCCCACTTCACATAAGAATCGTGACGCCAGAGACCCGGGGCGTCGCTGGAATCAGAACTGGAACCGATCGGAATCGGCAACATCGGACGAGAGCTGTACGTATGGAACCAGAGTCCGCGGATCGGATCGGAATCAATACCGGAAAGACCTCGGACCGCGCAAATACCCACCCCCGAAGGTACAGTCGGACCTGGGCCAGACGAAGACCCCTCAAGAACACGAGACCCTCCGCCGGCCAGAACGCACAGAGCATCCGAGGGCACCCTCCCCAGGGTGCTCCAGAGCACCCAACCAATGCGAAGAACACCAGGGTACCCTCCCGACCCGACCTCGGCCTTCTACAGTCTGGCTGCTGAAAGAAGGAACGCGAAATAAGGAAAGAAGCCCCTTCTTGGCCCTGGAAGCGCCTCCGTGCCCCAGGAGGGCAAGAGGCACAGCACTGGAGGAACCTATAAGGAACATCGAGCCCCTCCCGAACCCAAACTGTTCCTCACTTCAGCGTCTTTGCCTGGCACCCCCCCCCCGACCCCGACCTCGGCCTTACGCTGCCTCGGTCCGACTGCCCCGGCAGGGCCCGGGACTGCGCACGTGCACGTGCAGGCCTCCACGAGTGCCCTGTGCCGTCCGGGGGCGGCCTCGGCGCCCCTGGCGCGGGGATGCGCACGGCGCGCGTCGGGGGGGGGGGGGCGCTGCCGGAGAGGCGGCGCGGGGGGGGCGGACGAAGGGGCCCAGGGACACGCAGAGAAACAGACGCGCGTCCCAGCATCCCCCCGTACATGGACATTAGACTCGAACCGCGTGGCCCAAGATGCCCCCCAGACCCCGCGAAGTTGATATTGATGGCGTGGCGACGGGGGGGCGTGAGTGGACAGAAATATTCGAACTCCAAAACACCGCCTTTACTGAGATCAACATTGATGTCGGGGGCGAGGGGTGATTTAGAATCTCCCTCGAATGTGTAAAGGTTCGAATATATTGTCCATTTACTGCCTCTCTATTTTCTCACACTTTCTGGATGGTCGTCTTCCCCGCCACTTTCCACGCTTTCCGTGTGCTCTTGGGGATCGACGATCGTTCGTGTCTGTGTGCTTCTTGTTCCCCTCCTGAGTTGGCACCGCCCTGGGCTGCTGGAGGCCTGCTGAGGCCAGGCTGGACTGCCTCTTGGAGCTGTCTGTGCCCAACCCCGCGCTTCGCCCATCGAAGGCGACACGGGCACCCACTGGGATCGCCGCGGGGGTTGCTGAGTGGATGGGGGGGTTACACGTGGATGCCAAGGTGGGTTATATCTGGCCCAGCCTGGCCTACCAGTGGGTCACAAATTCCCCAAGTGGCTTAGGGGGTGCAGGGAACTCCGCTGAGTGGGCGGAGCCCACTTAGCCCGGATCGCTCACCCCCCTAAGCTACCCGTGGTACCTGCAACCCACTTGAAAGCCAGGTTAGGCCAGAGAGAACCCAGCTCAGCATCCACTTGTAACCCCCTGTCCATTTACCACCCCCCGCAGCGATCCCAGCAGGAATGGCGGCCCAGGCCGGGGCCAGAATCGGAAGCGGCTTTGGACGCACGAAATGGGTACGGGAAAAAATGGGCACAACGCCGAACCACAAATGTTGTCCAAAACCGGCAGCGGCCGCTGTTGGGCAGACGGCTGCTCGTCTTCAGAGAACAACGTCCGCGGCGGCGCGGACAGCGGGTCCCACCCAAAATGAACAGGAACTGCTGCTGGGCATTGTACCCATTTTTCCCGTACACCCTGCGAAATGCTTAAGAAATCATGGGTTAAGAAATTCATAGTCTCAGAACTTGAATAAAAACCCTACATTTCTATTACAATCTTAGGATTTACATTGAAACATTAAGAATAATCGAGACTCTGGCCGAAAACTTAAGTTTTCTTAAGCATCGCCCAAGGTGTACCCATGTCGACGTCGATCGTCCCGCGCGGCGGATTGGCCCCACGGCGCGGAGCCCGGCCCGGCTGCGCAGGATCCCCGCGGAGCCTCCGCGGCCCGCCTGGCCTGGCTTGCCGCGCCACGCCACGGAGACTCGGCCCGAGAAGGCCCGCGGCCAGCGGAGGGGGGCATCGGCCCCAGAACTCCGACGTCGCGAGAAGCTCACGACGAAGGTTTTTGACAATTTTCGGCCTCTGGAGGCCCTCGCCGGGCCTCGGGAGCGTCAAGAAACGACTCGGGATGAAAGACCGGTCCCAGGGAAGGTCTCCAGACTTCGGGGGGCAGACATCGTGAGTTTCCCACGACGTCGGGGGTCTGGGGCGGAGGGGGGCCAGGAGGCATTGACGTGAGATCCTGCCGACGGGGCTTCTGATACTGCCAACGGGGCTGTGGAAATCGGGCCCCCGTGCTGCTCGATCCTGCTAGGCGGTTCCCGCTTCTGGCGAGAAGTTTCCTGCGTCAGAAAAGCGGCGATGCGAAGGTACCCTCTTGCAACCCCCGATCGAGAGAAATAATTCCTCTCGATCGGAAGTTGCAAGAGGTTGCCACTGGCCCAAGGCGCCCCCAGCGTTTCGCTCCACGCTGGAGCCCCTGGGGGGAGATCCCTGTGCCTTGTGAGGGGTGCTCTGGGGGCCGTGGGGACCTCCGTGGAAATTCTGGGGGCGCCTTGGGTGGGGGGAACTTCTAGCAACGTCCGACTTGACAGTGACGCTGCGAGCGGACCCAGGCCGAAGCCCCAGCCTTCACCCTCCTTCCAGCACTGGCGCTGTGGACATACCTGTCTGCCGAACAGTTTAGCGCTGGCCACCTTCTCATCATCAGTAACAGCAGCATCAGCATCAGCATCAGCATCAGCATCAGCATCAGCATCAGCATCAGCATCATCATCATCATCAGCAGCAGCAGCATCATCAGCATCATCATCAGCATCATCATCACCACCGTCATCATCATCGTCATCATCATCGTCCTCCTCCTCTTCCTCATACTTCTACAATTACCCAATATGAATACTACTCTCCTCCCTCCCCTGGTGACGTCCAGGAAATGGCTGGCCCCCCTCCGCGCACTGGTAACAAAGGATTTCTGGGAGTTGGGTTTTCGCTTGGGTTTTTGTTTCAAAATGCTGTTCTCGCTGAAGCGCGGGCCGGGCTACCGCTCGTTCCGAATCGTGCTCCTGCTGCAGCGCTGGCCTCATTTCCGCGCTTCCGCTCGTTGTTCGAATCGTGCTCCCGCTGCAGCGCTGGCGTCATTATTTCCAGCGCCATGCCACGGCATGGTTTTCGGCTTTTTTCAAATAAGCCCCAAAATCTAGAAAATTGCACCCCGAAAAAACCATCAGAAGTAATCACACATTCGGTGTCGATTCCACTTTGGGGGCGTCGCCACGCCATGGTATGTCAGGATACGCGTCCTCCGAATCGGGTTCCCGCTGCAGCGCTGTCCTCAGTTCCGCGCTTCCGCTCGTTCCGAAGCGTGTTCCCGCTGCAGCGCTGGAGTCATCATTTCCAGCGCCATGCCACGGCATGGTTTTCGGTACTTCCAA